CGGTTGATCACGCGAGTGCGCAAGGTGACGTCACGTCACCACGTAAGGTCCGCGCTGCGCTACTTTACAATAGGCACACTAGGTTAACATAGTTCAATTTGGAGAGAGTTGTGAAAACAAGAAGCTTTTGGTATTATTGGAGGAGGTTTGGGCGAAGACGACGAGAAAACAAGAAGCTTTTGTAGTATTTTATTGGGAGGAGGTTTGGCGCCCTAGGCCCCGGTGCGGCCTTCAGATCGAAGAGGCTCCTGCGATGGAGCGCGCCAATCCCCCGGGACCTAGGCACTGGTGGCGGCATTTGGCAGCGGGAAGCAGATTGAAGGCAGATTGGAGGCAGATTGGAGGCAGGGTGAAGAGGAGGAGGAGGGGAGGCGGTGGTTGCAAGGCTTCGAGAAGGCAGAGAGTGGGAGTTTCTCCGCTTTTAAGCGGCTGCCTGGCCGGTACGGTGATTGGAAGGGGGCGTTTGCTGTGCGATAGGCTGGGGATGTGAACCGGCCTGGAGGGGGTAACTTTGGCTGACGTCTACCAAATTGAATTTTCGTGGGCTGCATTTCAATTTGGAGAGACGAGAAAACAAGAAGCTTTTGAGTATTTTATTGGGAGGAGGTTTGGCGCCCTAGGCCCCGGTGCGGCCTTCAGATCGGAGAGGCTCCTGCGATGGAGCGCGCCAATCCCCAAAAAGGCTGTGAGTTGATGGAGTTTTGCAGCCTGGTTTGGAGGGGACGGAACGTCGAGACTGCTCTATGCTGTGACCGCTATCGCTATGCTGTGACCGCTATCGCTATATACTGTGACCGCTATCGCTATATACTGTGACCGCTATCGCTATATGCTGACGACCATCATGCGCTAACCATTTTTTGCTATATACTGTGACCGCTATCACTATATACTGTGACCGCTATCGCTATATACTGTGACCGCTATCGCTATATACTGTGACCGCTATCGCTATATACTGTGACCGCTATCGCTATATACTGTGACCGCTATCGCTATATACTGTGACCGCTATCACTATATACTGTGACCGCTATCTACTGTGACCATCACTTGCGGATACTCAGCTGCTGCCGCCACCAGGAAGTTTAGCGAGTGTTTTATGGAGATGCCAAAAGCCGCTGGGCTGCCAGAATGGTCGAAGTGTCAGGCCTGATGTATGAGGAGAGGGCCGATGATGACCAGCGGCCCAGCTGCTGGAGGGCGGAATGGGGGAGCCCCAGGGACGCGGCGCGCGTGGCGGCGCCTATCCGGAAGGAGTGGGCTGTGTAGAGATGGGGAGACAGGTTACAAAGCAGCAGTACGGACTTGAGTTGGGCTCTGAACCAGTTGGATGACATTGGGAGGTTATCGGGAGTAAGAGATCTCCTTTCCGAGAGCGGAGGCGAGTGTAATGCATCATGGATCTGTAGGGACAGGGAGAAGTGTCAGACCGAGCTATGACTATATTGCAAGCGCCTTTGCGTTTGGAATGCTTGAGGTGGAGGTTGAAGTAGTCGGGATAATATGACAGGTCAGAGAAGGCAATGTCTCGGGATGCTTTAAAGGTGGCGTGAGAGTTTGTGAATTCGCTTATGCGTAAGAAGCCCATTTTCATGTAGGATGCAGCGGAGGAGAGAAGGTGAAGAGACGGAGGGACTAGACCAGGGCGAGGGATTCCGTGCAGGGGATCTGGCATGGCGATGGATTGGCAGAAGGGCAGAGGCGTCAGAACTCCTGGAATTTAAAGCGAGAGAGAGAGTCAGCAAGACAGTTAGGTGACGAGGGACGTGACGAGCAGTGATGATAAATTGTTCAGGACTGAGAGCCATGTGATGCGTCTAAGGAGGATGTGATTGGGGAGAGGATGAACGACCTCTGTTAATTATTTCAATGACGTCGAGGTTGTCGCACGTCACGGAAATCCTTTTCCTATGCCACGTATGGTTCCGCAGCACGCAGGCTACGGTCACGGGATATATCTCGTGGAGCGCGGAGGAGATGCTTCGAGGGAAAGCGTCGGGCCGGGGCCCGGCGAACCACTGGTCCTGGAAAAAACCCCAAAACCCACGGACGGGGCTGCGTCCGTGAAGAACCGCGGGGCATCTGAGACAGGATGATGTCACTGTAAAAAAAGAGATACACCATCCCAGCGGCTCTGCAGACGGGACCGGAACGCCAGGTCGGAGCGGCGCCCCACGTCCGGGCAGACAGCGTCATTGAGGGAGGAGACGGAGCCGGCGAGGGAGAGGAGTCTGGAATTAAAAGAACGACCTTGGGGAATGATGCGGACGGCATAATGAAGATGCCCGAGGAGGGAGAGCAAGGACGCCTCGAAGTGACGGGAAGGCCAAGGCAGACCGGGAGAAAGCGCGGATGCGTTCGAGCTTGTCCAGCGGGAGGGAGGCCTCCATGGCGCGTGTGTCGAGGCGGATGCCGAGAAACTCCTGAGCGTTGGCGGGGCCTGTGGTCTTTCCGGAGTGGAGGAATCCGAGGGCAGAGAAGGCGGGCCTGAGCTTGCGGAGAGAGCCCCCGGAGCAGTCTGAGGGTGGGTTGACTACGAGGGAATCATCGGGGAGATGCAGACAGAGGGGAGCCGCGCGTAATTAAGCAGAATCCGACACGGCGCCTCCGAGAGATTGTTGAACGAGAGGGACTACTCCGGCAGTCAAAGGTGAGGCGCACTGCGAAGAAGAACTCCGACGCCACTTGACCCCTGAACAGCGCCAGTGGTCGGGGTGGATGGCAGCAGCTTGAACGCGTCCGGGATGACGGCCTTGGAGAGCCAGGAGCCGGGGCCGAAAGTCTTTATCAGCCTGATCGCGTGGTCCACGGTAGCGGACTGCAGGGAGAAGGGCGCTGGAGGGAAGGGGCTGTGGATGCTCGGGCGGGCCCGGAGCGGGGACAGGAGAGGACGAGTATGAGACGCTTCTTCCTGGAGTGCTTGCGGGTGGCGATGCCCATCGGGTTAGAGCGAGACGGAGAGAAGGGGCCAATGACGTAGCCCACGGACACCTCCCGCGCCCGAGCCGCGTGCCGACTTGGGGCTCACGGAGAGCCGGGAAGAGGTTGCGGGACACGAGACGCCGAGGGACCTAAACAGAGCTTGCAGACTAATGTGAGGGATTTAAATAGAGCTTGCAGTCCAAGTGAGGTATTAAAACTGAGCCCGCAGTCCAAGTGAGGCGTTTAACGGAGAGCCTGCAGTCCGGTGCGAGGGAGTTAAACGACCTGTAGTCCGAGGTGAGGGATTAAACTGAGAGCTTGTAGTCCAGAGTGAGGGATTCAACATTGCCCGCAGTCCTAAAAGAGGGATTTATAACTGAGAGCTTGAAGTCCAAGTGAGGGATTAAACCGAGAGCTGCAGTCCAGTGTGAGGGATTTAAACAGGTTTTACGGTCCAAGTGAGGGATTAACTGAACCCGCAGTCCAAATGAGGAGTTTAAACTGAAAGCTTACAGTCCAGTGTGAGGGATCCAACAGAGCCTGCAGTTTTTTATTTTTTTATTTATTTATTTATTTATATTTATTTATATTTATATTTATTCATATTTATATTTATTTATATTTATTTATATTTATTTATTTTTATATATAAGCGTTCCAGATATAAGCAGTACCATATATGCAGTTCCAATATGAGCAGTTCCATATAAGCAGTTCCGTATATAAGCCGTTCCATATATAAGCAGTTCCATATATAGCAGTTCCATATATAGCAGTCCCATGTATAAGCAGTTCCGCATGAAGCAGTTCCAGGTACGGTATAACAGCTCCAGATATAAGCAGTTCCAGATATAAGCAGTTCCGTGAGGGATTAACCTGAGAGCTCGCAGTCCAATGTGAGGGATTCAATTTGGGAGCCGCAGTCCAGAGGGATTTAAACGGGGCTTGCAGTCCAAAGAGAGGGATTTAAACAGAGCTCGTAGTCCAGAGAGGGATTTAAAGAGCCTGCAGGCCAAAGTGAGGGATTAAAACTGAGAGCACGCAGTCCAATGTGAGGGATTAAACTGAGATCTTGCAGTCCAATGAGAGGAATAAACGGAGCTTGCAGTCAGAGTGAAGGATTTAAACGGAGCTTGGTTAAGAGAGCCTGCAGAACAATGCGAGGGCTTTAAACTGAAGCTTGCCCACCAATGCACGGGGCCAACTGAGCCTGCAGTACAAAGCGCGGGGCGAACTGAGCCTGTAGTACAATGCGAGGGGAATAAAACCGTCCGCAGATCTCATACTTACCCACAACGCCAGAAGACAAGGGACAACACAACAGGACCACGCCGTACCGGCACGAGGAGGCAGGGATGCGCACGGCTCCCACCGCACCGGTCCAGACCGGCCGTATGCAGCAGCAGGCCGCGACGAGACGAGCAGCGGCGAACCCGCAGAAAGAGCCCGCAAAGGAGGAGAGCGGCAAAGACCCACGGACCACAGCACGAGACCCGCAGCAGGTGCAGCGACGCGGAGGAGGAGCAGACCACAACGCAGCAAGACAGAGGACAGCAGGGACCGCAGGAGTAAGCGTGAGTAGACAAAAGCGATTCCTCCAGAACGATTCTTGCAAGGCTTCAAGAAGGCCGAGAGTGGGAGTTTCTCCGCTTTTAAGCGGCTGCCTGGCCGGTACGGTGATTGGAAGGGGGCGTTTGCTGTGCGATAGGCTGGGGATGTGAACCGGCCTGGAGGGGGTAACTTTGGCTGACGTCTACCAAATTGAATTTCCGCGGGCTGCATGTCTACAGGGTCAAAAAGGCAATCCTTTCGGCGGAAATAAAAACAGATAACTATATGAATATGATCTCTAGCTTTAGCATAATGAAGAAGCAGGTATAAAATACTGTATATTATTGGATTTAGTCCCCACAACCCCCAGACAGTGGAGCAATGAGCATCAGGTAGTGGAAGGGAAGCCCCCCCAGACACAGGAGGATTAGTTCTACCAGCACTCTGTTCTTCCGCCTGTAAATCAGCTCCTACAAACCCGCAGTATGCATGTCCTCCACACACGCTGTGGTCGTAAATATGCTTTATCTGCTGTGTTCCTCGATGCTTCCATCCGAACAACCTGGTGCTCGCTTCCCCCGCCTCCCAAAGTGCATTAAGCCCACTATGGGGAATAAATACGGCTCATTAAAACAGCGGATGTGAAATTGATCTGTTCTGATCGGAGCGGTGGGTTCTGAGGAGGCCAGTGTGAAGAGGGGGAGGTGGAAGAGGCGGAGGAGAAGGAGGACAACGGGGAGGAGAGGAGGAGGAAGGTGTGCTGCAGATGATTCCTCAGCTTTACGAGGCATCGCGCTGCTGTTATGGACAGAAGACGAGTTATGGGAGGATTGTGGCAGCAGCAGAGCGACTGTGACGGGGTAGACAGATGAGGATTTGGGAGCAAACGCAGGAGAAGTCATCTGTGAAGGCAGGGTTGTTTGTATAGCACAAATCACACTCCCTCAAAGTGCTTTACAAACAAGAAACAACACAACAAATAAGCACATACATGAGGTGAAGTCATGAGTTCTACAACATGAGGGGTGCTAACAGGACCTCCCAGTTGTGCACACAGCAAAACACACCTGTTTTTAGAGGAGAGGCTTTGCAGGAATACGGCTCCAGATTTAAGATGCATGCGACCTCACATGTTGTGCATCTGTGCATTTACTTGAACGTGTCAGAATGTGCATTAGAAACCACATGTTTCCACTATCAATTGACTTTACTCATCTGTGCAATAGTAACTTAAATAATGTCAGAATTAATGTACATTATTGAATCACATGTAACCACTGTCACCCCCATACTACAAACATGTAAGATAAGATAAAATAAACTTTATTGATCTCACAATGGAGAAATGTACATGTCACATTTGACATTGATAGAATTATTCACATTGTGCAAAAAGACAGAAGTGTGCTAACAATATAATATACAATATGTACAATATAAAAGTGGCTTCAGTCCTAGATGTACAGATGTATGCATACAAGTATATGTTTCTTCCACTACAATATACAGTAATATTTGCTTCTTTATTATACTATAGTAAAATGTATTTTAGTATAGAGTCATTGTTCATTTATCTTGTGTCATGTGCTCCTCATTCCTACTGTTCTGTAACCGGTGATGCAACACTGAAATGATCCCATTGTGGGAAAAATAAAGGATCTCTTAATCTCATATGATTACAGCAGGCAGACACAGGTTATGTCTCCTCTATCTCTGTTCTGGTTGTATTCATTCTCCACTTCTTCAGTCATGCAAATACATCATTTCTTTGAGTTTTCACTTATTGGATCATCTGCAGCCAACAGCCACATCTTCATTTCTTCTGAATAATCAGATCTGCTCAGGAAAAAACCGCACCATTCCAGCCGTGTCTAATCTGATCTGGGAATGATTTTGGAGTATCCGGCAACTATCTGTTTGAGAGAATAATGGAGCATAATGGGAGAGATCTGGGAGCTGTTTTGGCCTCTTTCCTGAACTATTGACACCAGTCCAGAAGCAGACCCCCTCCTCCCTAATGGCTCAAAGGAGACTGAGGAAAGACATGTTTTACACTCCAGCAAGAAGCTTGTCCCACCTGCTGAACAGTTCTCAGACAAAAAGCAAATATACAATTAGCTACACATTTTTTTTAGGTCCAAGTATTCTGGATTCAGCTGCAGTCGGACTTAAAAATTCAGACTATACCCTATTTGGGTATGGCAGTAGCATTCATGATACGCCCAAAAAGAAGTCAATACACGGCTGTGTGTTCTATTGGCATATCTTGTTTTAAGACAAGATTTTCCAGATAATAGAGTATAGCTTATGTACAGAAGTTCCACCTTTTTCCACAGGGCCATTGTTGTATATTTCAGTCCACTGTCTTTCTTCTGTTCTCAGGGCTTGCTTTTTCTGCTCTTCCACTTTCGCTGAAGTCACTGTCTCTATTGTGAAAATATAATAGGAAAATTCAGAAGTAAATGTTTGCTTGTTGTGTTTGGATGCAGTAGGTGTGTTTGTTTTGAGCGTGGGCGCGTCCCTGTGCTGACCTGTACCTCCTCCTGGTCCTCGCCCACCTTCAGCTCCACGGCGACCGGAGTGAAGGGGCGGCTGGCCATCTGCTGCCGCTCCCTCATCAGCTGCTGCAAACCAACCAGGTATGAATGCGTTTTACTGAAAATTATGTCTGTTACAACTGCCTTCGGGGCAACTATGCCATCTTAGATTAGATAATCCTAACAGAATGTGATCCCACGTCAACAATGGAACAATGGTTGCATATTCCAGTCATCTCTTCAATTATTAAAACATTTACTTCTTTAGTTTTAGTTATGGGTATTACTACATACAAGTTTTATTAAAATCCATTTGTTAAATTGAAAAGTTTAGCTCATTGATTCAGCTTGTGTATGAATTCAGGCCGTAGAGTAGAGACGCACGCACAGTGTGAGCAGCTCAACATGTGCGTTCATCGCTCCCTACAGTGCGTCACTCCCATTAATTTCTTCTACAGCTCCGTCCAAAGGACCTTGCGGTGTACCGAGCCGCCCTAATGCCCACCTCTTTTGATGAAAAGTTTAAATACTGTATACTTATAATACTGTACTTTATGCGGACCTGGAGCGTGGTCTGGCAGTTGGGGACCCCTGCATTATAAATGATGAATTAATATTTCTTGTCTTTAGGTGTGTCTTTAGGTGATTTTGGTGACTTTGATGGCATCTCCAAGTGGAAAATGAAGATCTATGGTCTGGGATCACCTGAGAAATGCTTCAGACAGTAGCTGTACATCAGCATGTTCCCAGCCTCAGGTGGTGCTCAGCTGGAGCCAAATTGAGAAAACACATCAGCAGATAATAAGGCTTTAGCTTGGATGAGTTTGGTAAGTGTGTGTCATGTTTCTGTTGTGGTGAAACATTTCAGCACGTTCCATCTGGTGATTTCACATGTACAGCTGGTGTCTCCAACTTTCAAAACCACAAAAAAAAAAAGTTTATCAAACAGGTGAATGAAGTGTTTCCATCCCTCCATTCTCTTCTATTTGTATTCACTGGTGACAAACTGTGTATCTACTGTTGTTTCGCAAACAGAGGTGCGGGTTTGAGAGTTTTCAGCGATGTATATTGGTGATGGGCAAGGTTTATTGGTTATTGCAGCTTCTGAATACTTGAGTGCACAGTGAGGATGGGTCAAATGCAGAGGATGAATTGCCCTACAGGGATTAATAAAGTGCACTTTTACCTTTTATCTGCCCCCAAGATTCATAAAAAGTATCCATGTCATGAGTTATTCTGTGCAATATCTTTTCATATGAGACTTATCTAAGTATGTTTTCTTTCCATTTTTTGATATTAGTGTGTCCTTCCACACACTAAAAATGATCCGTGCTGGCGCAATTTGCTAAAACATACCACTGACTTTATTTATTGTGTAAAATTGCCCTGGTAATCCCTAAATTGCAAATACCTCCAAACGTCCGTTTTTAACAAACTAATTTTTTTGAATTAAATCTTCAAAAGACATAATTACCATTGTTATAGAGATCTCCAATTACATGTATTCTTTGTCAATCCACTCTTTCAATAAAGTGTGATTTTACCAATCCGTATTGCTGAATTATAACACAGTGAAGCATATGGTTGTACCCTTACCTTTTTAAAATTATGTATAGTAAGGCAGGTACTGCATACAGCACACTAAAATGTACTAATATCCAGAATACAGTACATATACATTCCAGGGTTATGGTCATGGTCATGTTCATAGAAGAGAGGAGGAGCAGAGGGTTAGGCCATCGTACTATGCTACCGTCGACTCTTTATTTACTTGCATGTACATTTTTATTGACACAATCATACTCACAAGAAAACCTTCTCAAGTTTCATTGTTTGTTTGAAAATGTCAGTTGATGATGCAGGTGATGAGAGGGATGAGAGTTGGTTGACAGGTTTTGAGGAGGGATGATGGGATTGGGTCAAGCTGGCAGTTGGAAAATTTCAAAGTTGAGAAGTTTGGTGGTGTCAGAGGGAGACAGGGGAGAGAAGGAGGGAAGGCTAGTGCAGTGGGTTCAAGTTCAGAGTAAGGAGAAGAGGAGGAAGTGGATTTTGGTATGGTTGAATGACAGGAAGTTATTGCATTTGTCTGTAGTGAAAGTGGAGGTTATATTGTCCTTGGGTTTGGTCAGGTTTGCAAAAGTGGGGAATTAGAGTGGATGAGTTGTGAATAGAAGTTGGACCGGGCAGTTTTGAGAGCAGAGTTGTATGTGGTTGTGGCATGTTTGTATGCTTGGGCATTAACGGTGAGACCAGTTTTTGTATGTAAGTAAGTAAGTAAGTAAGCTTTTATTTATATACCGCCTTTCACAGACCAGAGTCACAAAGCGGTTTACAATTGTTATTTTTTGGGCACTTGTCCTCTCACTCCACACAGAGATGGGAGTGGGGTCGCCGAACAGGAGGCGCATGCCAGACCTATTGTACATATTTTTAGTGGTAGGGGAAACCGGAGTACCCGGAGGAAACCTACGCAGACACGGGGAGAACATGCAAACTCCACTCAGAAAGGCCCTGGTCCGGCCGGGATTCGAACCCAGGACCTTCTTGCTGAGAGGCGAGAGTGCTATCCACTCAGCCACCGTGCCGCCCACGTGCCGTATGGAGCCGTTCAAGTTGTTTCTTTTGTTGTTTGAGATTGTGGAGATCTGGGGTGTATCAGGGGGCGGAGGTGGAGAAGGAGACTGAGGCAGTTTTCATGGGGGCAGAGTGTGGGGTTGTAGAAATTGACTAGATCAGAGGAAGATGGATCTGAAGGAAAGGAAGAGCTGGATAGGGCATGGGATATGGAGGAGGAGAGAGAGATGGGACTAATAGACTTCAAATTTCGGAAAGTAATTGTTCGTGTCTGTTTGGTGGAGGGAGAGACGGTAATGATATCCAGGGTAATGGCCAGATGATCAGAGATGGTCAGGTCGGTGAGTGACAGATTGTGTATGGTGAGGGAGGGTATGGAACAGACCAGGTCCAGGATGTGTCCATGGTTGTGTGTGGGTGAAGTGACGTGCTGGGTGAGGTTGAGGCAGTTTAAAATGTCCAAGAAGTCAGACGCGAATTTAACTGTAGGGGAGTTAATATGAATGTTGAAGTCACCAAGGAGGAGAACGGATGGAGAAATGGAGGACAGCCGAGTTACAAAATCAGTAAAATCCGAGAAAAATTATGAGCAGGTTTTGGGAGGGCGGTAGATGACTGGAGCAATGACACTGCATGAAAAGTTAGATTTTCGTCACCCTAAACTGCAGGAAATCACGCTCTTTTTCGGGTATCTCAGGCAGTTTTCAGAAGGCGCAGTTAGGGTGCCCTGTCCTCCAAACTGCCGTATCCGTACCATGCTAATGTCCCTACTTTGCATATGAATGCAGCGAAACACTGCGACCGGCGGAGCGCTAATGGCCCTAATTAGCATATGAATGCAGCGGCCGGCCAGGCTGCTATTCAGCATTGGTGAATACCACTACTTTCAAACTCGTGATTGGCTGAAAAATCACACGTGGCCAGCCCACGTGGGATTACTCCCCATTGGTAGCTTACTCCCCATTGGATGAAATCACTACTTTCAAATAAGTATAATCTCTCGTGATTGGCTAGCAGATCTGTCACTATTGGTCACCCTGCCTCATAATTAATGTAATAATATTTATATAAATATTCGTATTATTTATAGAAGAAATGAAAATTTTCCAGGAATATGTTCATACAAAGAAAGCTTTATTAAAACACACACACACACACACAGAGCTTTATGCCCACACATAGGTAATTAAAAAATTACAACTCTGAACTGTCCAATAGCCTCCTCGGGGTTGTAATTTGGCAGGGTTCTAGATAGACGCTTAATGTGCGTGGCTCTGTACTTCCGCACCGCCTCTAACCGGGACTGCAGCTTGACAGAGTTCAGAAAACTCCGGCTTTCGAAAAGACTGCGACCGCACAATCCATCCAGAGACACCGTCCACAACGCCTTCTTCTTCATTGGACATTAGGTCTACCGTGGCGGACTTCCAGAGTTCCACTTTGTCACTTTCTAGCACACTCGGTCTCGATTCCAGCGGCTGAAAGAATCAGTAAATATTATGAGCCAAATCAAATCCTTTTTCCCCATCTAAACATAGTGTCTAAAGCAGACCTGGAGATTCTTATCCATGCATTTGTCTCCAGTAGGTTAGACTACTGTGCCACAACAGCTGCAGTACATTCAAAATGCAGCAGCTCAAGTCCTGACCAGAACCAGGAAGTACGATGGTAAGGCAAGTTTATTTGTCTAGCACAATTCATACACAAGGCAACTCGAAGTGCTGAGCAAAATAAGAAAGCATTAAAATAAATAATCACAGTACATTAACAAAGATAAATATAAAATACCTCAGTTGTAGCACAGCTAAAGCTCCTCTCTGACAATGTTTAAAACCAGGTTAAAGGGAGAAACAGTAAAACACTTACACACAATGTCGTCTTTATCAACATGGTGGAAATGTGGACTTATTGTTCACATTGTATTGCAGATATTGTGTTAAGCAAATAGGAGGTCACCGTCTCATTACGAGGCGAGATTAGTCTGAAAACAAAGTGTACAGTTATGATTGTTATCTATACATATCCATTACCGACACAAAACATGTAGGTATACCAAATTCAATTTCCATGGATACATTAACAATACTTACATAACCTTTTTGAGAAAATGGATCCTTCAATGAAAAAAGTGTGATAATTCTAAGAGCATAGCTTTCTTTTTGTTTTCGGGAAGGCATTTGTCTAAGGAGAAAAAAACACTCATGGTCAAAGGACTTCATGGTTACATAAAAAGGCTAAATTAATAGTATCTACAAGTACATATTTTCACGGGGACCTAACTAAGAGAATCTACAGGAGAACATCTACCTAGGTCATTTATAAAAGAGATAAGTACTATTTATCTTACAATGGGGAATCAATAACAGTGCTGAGAGAAACTGAATTGTTATGTGATTATTGTGAAAGGTCTTTCAAGTGATTTTCATTTTATTTTGAGTAAATATCCTTCCACTTGTAAGAAGGAACTTTTGAGTAATAACTGAGGGATACAACATACCCATGTGTTTCACTCATGTCACTGACGAGAAGGTCGACAAGTTGTCTTGTCACGAGAGCGGTGACTTAGTGATCTCACAGAATTATAATCTTTAAGGATCTCTCGGTCACCAGGGTTTTCCTGCAGTTCCACCATCTACAAACACGTGAAAAATATAAAATGACAATCTACAATTGTACCAAAAATCTTAGGATACAAAATGCAGCAGTACCTCTTTTGATGTGTACCTTTCTCCTTTCTCCATCTCCTCTGCTGTACATATGTGCATTTCAACACCAAACACAATCATATGTCATTTCTTTTTGTTATTGCTTTATGAACTTACACAGGAATCGAGGTGCCGGACCATCTTGGAAAGCTTAGCGCCAGCAGACCCCCTTTTGGCCTTAAAGAGCTTGATGAACTGTGTCGTTAGGCAATCCAATGCTTCAACGAAATCATTGCCCAGTTTGGAGCTGGTGATCTGGTTAAATTCTGCCAGGACCTGCAAAAAAACAACATAAAACACTTCAAGTTAAATGCATAGATGTAAAAAATGTGTACACACCTGTCTCTCTGTATAAAGTGCTGGCCAGCGCGCTTTGACATTTTCCACAGGTGGGACAGAATTGACTATTTCTTGTTGTCGGACTGCAACACGCTGTAAGCAAAAAAAGAATAATCAATATATATAAAACAATATCACATGATTTTTGCTCAAATGTGTTTAAAGGAGGTCTAGATTCACTCAATAACATTATTAAGCAATGGACTTAATAAAAAAAAAAAAAAAATGAACAGAAAGACAACAATGACAAATGAGATGAAAAAGTACAGTAATAAAAGTGAAAGTCTTAGCGCTCAAACAAAGACAGGAACAGTGCAAAACAAATGATATATGTTAGATATTCCACAGTCTCCTGTATATCAGGCTCTGCCATGAGCCCAAACTACTTTTCCTTCGGTTCTTTCGAAGCAGTCTGCTCTGTGCGCCTCGTCCCTGCAGCAGTTCCATGCTTTACAGAAAGTTATCACACACGGAGCAATCACATATATATGTGATATATATATCACATATATGTTTTGGTTGTGTAAAGAGAGTGATGATAACACCAACAACCGTTTGTGTATACACTGGTCAAAGTGCTCGTGGGTCCTCCGGTATGATACTCCGTCTGGTTGGGAGGCCACCAGCAGACTGAAGTCGTCTGCCAATGATTTGTGTCTGAAGGTCAGGAATGTAGTTGTAATCCTTTGCTTCTTTGACAGTGTGTACCCGATACCGTTTCGATTTTTTGCTGTACAGTCTCTTTAGGCTACAAGATAAGTAATTTCACGTTAGAAGACAACTATATTTATGACTTGTCAATAGGAAGTAGTGAATGATACTTACGACACTTGGCCTTTGCTGTTCACATGTGCCGGACGGCTGTTGTGGTGATTGTAGTCCAAAGCTGCGAGAAGTGTTCTTGCTTCATAAACAAAAAATGAAAAAGCAAACCGCTTTCCGGCATACATCAGAATATGGTTTTGGAATGATTCCAGCTGTGAGGTGGTCCTACAGGGAAAGTAAGTAGGAAATAGAAGAAACACAAATCATTCAAATAAACAAAAACTGATCTCTTACCGAAATGTGAGGAACTTCTCCACATCCTTCAGCCATCTGCGGTTCAGCACGATCTGTGACAGTGCCACATGTGCTTTAGAGCCACTTGGTACAGGCTCTTTAGTGCCATCATCCCCCAAAGGACCATGAAGGCATCTACCCAGGTCCCACTCATGCACGCCACTAACATGGTGCAGTACACTTCGCCAAATGTCCTAATAAGCAAACATAAGAAACTGAAAAGGTATAGTGAAAATGAGAAGATAAATTCTAGTTCTACTTTACTTACCATGAACTCTTCTCGGCTGCTTGCATGCTGACAGGCATACCAAAAATGGTTAACAATGTCCTTGATCCACACTAGGATTTGTTTTTGACCTGCTAGGACACCCGCCTATCAAAGTTATTAGTTTTGGTTATGTCTATAAAAAATAATTGAATAAGAAACGATATGAACTATCACTTACAGCATGAAGCCTTTCAGCATGCCAGACATCCAGGGAATGGGTAACTCCATGATCCATATATCTTCCCCACTCTGGATCTATTTTAAAGCTCAAAAATGCAGTAAGCACAAAATATAGCACATCAAATAATACAGACAAAAATACTTACGCATGAGGGCTGCAATTTGCACATGGGCGTCCGTCACAATCTTTGACTTTTAATTCTTTCGTGAGATCATCAAATGTTTTGATGTTGTGTATGTGCAAAACGTTGCAGAATGACCTTGTTGAATCAAATATGGTGAAACACAAAGTAATACACAATAACTATGTTGTGAAGTGAAAGGCTTCAGACTTACCTGGTGAGTCCATTCTCCCGTCAGCTGTAACAGATATAGTACTTATAGTGACTGCAAATACGACAAAGATTGTCCTTTAACACATTACTTACCAAGGGCCACAATGCCATCTTTTGACTTTAATCGAGTTACAATAGACAACCTCTTCTGCTCCCAAAATGCCTTTATTTCAGGTACGCAGTAGGAGTGTTGAATTTTGTAATAAGTTGTCGTTGTGAAACCATCTTCATATTCATAAATTTGAAGAGGAGGGCAATCTTAGCAAAATTATTACCACTCAGTAATAAGTTGGCAGATAACATAAAATCGCCTCCTTGCATCCCATGTCGAAGTACAGGTTGACTGTTCCACATCCATAACTTGTGTCCATAAGAGCAGAACTATGGAGAAAGAAACAAATAACTTTTACTAAATGTATAACTACACATTTTGCCTACCCTAAATACTAATCTCTAATTTCAGCATTCACTCACCCATTCCAATATGATTGATGTGCCCCTAGAACGTGATTGAACCGAAAATGGAGGCCGACCGTCACACTCAATACCAGAAACCGGATCGCTGTAATGGCATTTGTTGATGGGCAGTTGCAGAAAATTAGCCATTTGCAGCAAGCTAATAGTATACGCTATGCATGCTTGTTGGTGCACTAGGTCAGTTTCAGCAACCACACGAATTGACTTTGGGAATGTTGATATGTCCTGCTCAGACTGATCCTCAAAGTCCTCTGGTTCTCCGGGATTTTCTGGGTCACAGATGTCCAACACAGCTTCTTCTATGCCGAGGATGGGAAGATTGTCAACTTCTCTTTGAATTGCAACACCAGCACTGAAAACAAGAACAATTTGATGCTTTTTCAAAAAAACAATTAGGGAAGGACTTCCATTATTTTCAGGACAGAACATTTAATAAAAAAAACCTCAAAGATATAGGTGGGACATATTCCGAATCTAATGGATCTGAGGCCAAATCTTCATCAAACTCAATCCTGTGAAAGTAAACAGGTCATATTTTAAAACAATCAACAAAATATTTCTTTTTAAACATGTTAAGTAACTTACACACTGTCTTCTAGATTGTTTGCCCGTTTTTCATTTAACCAAAGATCTGAATGTCTACAAAAAACAATAAATCATATAAATAAACGACCTAGAAATGAGAATACAATGTACATCTTAATGTGAATGCATGTCTACCTTTTCTCCAAAACCTCCAGCTCTTTCTCCTCTATAAAAGGCTGCACCCCTGCCACAGATAAGTCATCCCTGTTAAAAAATACAGTTTGTTTCAGTGAAATTGTCAATAAGGCTTGAATCAAACATAATGCCAATCCCATTTTTCTGGGAAAAAAAAGTACCGGTCAGATTCTACGGGACTGATTGAACTCGGGAGATCACCAGTCGCAGTAGTGGTTTTAGGAGTTGAGGCCTTGGGACTCCTTGATGCCATCATTTTTTCATAGCTATAAAGTAAATAAATAGACGTTACCTATACACACATGCATCTCATTGTATTACAGTTGGACTAACCACATTATATTACTAATATAGTCTGCAATTCTACGATACATATAGTACAGGTACTGAGGTACATAATCACTGCATCTGCAAGTTTCATAATGGTTTACATGCACAGTAGCAGCCCAATAATGTACACAGCTGTACTAAGCTAACACATGCTAACGTTCATTCAAAAGCACTAATCAACGTAACAGTCATTATTTCTAGACATTCTTCATACAGAACAAAAAAAATGCTGAATGTGTCTCGCCAATCTGTTACTGTTCAGAAAAAAACCGAACCAAATGGAATCAGTCCATGTTGCTAAGTCAAAAAGCTAACACACAATAATGCTATATCTCTTCGTATTCGAAGACACTAGGACGTTTAGAACTGAGTCACCGTCTTACCTTCTAATCAAGATAAACGCCAAATGAGGATCATTTTTTATCCCCAGAGCGTTTCGGAGACTTCTCCATTTCTCAAACGCATGGCCGAGAGCGACTCGGGTCTGAGCTCTCCGCCGGTCGGCCTCTCGCTTCGCTCTTTTCGTAGCACTGGTGACAATATTTTTTCTCTTCGCTTGGCGTGGAGTTCCAGACGGTGATTCTGAAGCTGGTCTCTTAGAAGAAACTGCTGGATCCATCTTCAAATACGCGTGATACAAGGACGGGACAGATCCACTGAACGCGAGGGAACATATGGAGCCAAAACAGTGAACGGGCACGCGCATTGCGTCACTTCCGCTTAAACAGCGCGCGAGAAAGCGACCCGAGTCTGGGATTTCTCAATCACTGTATGCGCTCACAGAAGCAACCACAGTGAATCTGCTAATGCTCAGTTTACACACCAGGCAACTGCTGATGGACCACAGATGCAAAATATTGCATTATGGCATTTTTTAACTTACGCAATGCACCTGTCAAAATTATCGTTTTGACTCACGTTAATTACATTTTTCATTAACGCGTTATTTTTTTTTAAATACCCGCCCATTTATCCATAAGAATATCACTCAGAATGCTGCGTGTGAGATGGCCTCCTCCGTGGCCGCTCTGGTTGTTGTTAGCGGCTGTGAGTGAGTGCAAGCTTTGCACGGGCTGCAAGCATGGATCTAGCTATTATAATAACAGCAGCAAACATGGATCTAGCTATTATAATAACAGCAGCAAGCGATTGCTCCGTTCACATGCTCAGCGCTCTGCGCACTGTATTTTCCCTGGTTCTTGTCTGTCAGGCGCGCTCTGCGCACTGTATTCTCCCTGGTTCTTGACTGTCAGGCGTGAGTGTTGCTCGTGTGTGTCTTTGGGAACTAATTATTTTAAAATAGTCTCTTTCAATTGCAAGTTTTGTAATCTGTTTGTTTGATCAATGGATAAAAATAAATGCAATTTAATTAAATGGCACCTTGGCCTGTCTTATACCTGTTTGCCTGCAGGACAGTTTCCTAAACTAACATATCATACTAAAATAGGGTGGGGTTGTTGCAACAATTAATCTACTTAGAAGTTATCCTAAATTACAGCCAGCTAAAGCTCGGTACCACGACAAACGAAAAAGTAACGCAATAGTTACTTTTACTGCTAACTAGTTACTTTTATAGTGGAGTAACTCAGTTAGTGAGTCAATTACTTTTTGGTGGTAGAAGTAACTAGTAACTATAACTAATTACTTTTTCAAAGTAACTTACCCAACACTGGTAATTATATTTGATAATCTCATTTAACTTCAATTGGAGTGGATTTGAAATAGAATGTTAAACATGCGATTAATCGTGAGTTAACTCACCATTACTATGCGATTAATCAACTAAAAAAAATGAATCGTTTGACAGCCCTAGTATATATATATATATATATATATATATATAATTTGAACCGAGAATAGAACACATCTTTCATGTCATGAATAAAAATAAAAAATCCAAACTTTTGGTCTGTACTGTACATACATGAGATGAACACTTACACTTTCAACATGTCTTTTGTCCTATTAGATTGATTTAATTGATTTTGACATGACAAGCTATAATCAATCATGATCAAATATGTGTGTGTGTGTGTGTGTGTGTGTGTGTGTGTGTTTGAGCATTTACAAAATCCGGGTCTACGGTGTGCTCCCCCTCAACCCTGATTAGCATTTGTATAGCTCACAGCATTGCCATTTACATGTTAAAGCCTCCTGTGGAGGAGGGAGGAGGGGACAACAAACTGCCGAATCCCAGAAGTTTCACAGTAATATACAGGGCCGAAAAGAGACGAAAATCACACTTTTCATGCAGTGTGAGTTATTGGGAAGGAGCAGGAAAGCCACGAACAGTAGCCACATAGCTGGCTGGCTGCTCCGGGGTACGGGCCGGCCAGTGACCGGTTTGTAGTCCGCTGCTTGAGAAGAGCACAGCACGGTTTGGCCGGAGACAGCTCCGGGAGCAAGTGTGATGGTGGGCACAGCAGAGTCACACCGCGACAGGCTGTGAAAGGCGGCAGACGCGGGTGACCAGGCATGGACACGGTCCAGGTGTTGAGGCAGCATCAGATACCACCGGTACCAGGCAAAATCGGTACCGTTAAACCGCTTACTTTTAACAAAGCAAACTTTTCCGTCCGGAGTTAGAAGCAGCAGCAAAAACGCGCCAGCGTCCTCTCACTTCCGGGTGATTAATCAGAGTCCCAGCAGGAGCAGAGGGCTGCCTACGTTCAATCATACAAAGCTAAAGTGTTTGAATTCCAGAACAAACTATATAATGAACAATCTGTTTGTAATTAGGGATATAATGGACAGTTCAAAGCAGAAAGACAGATGCTTCATTTGATGGCCCTTTGACAGGGTAGACCATGGAGCCTCGTGGATTAGCCTGCTGTTTTTGAGAGCTGCAGTAATGCTGAAAGTGGGGGGAGGTCGGAGGTCAAAGGGGGCATATGGCACGGCTGTCCTCTTCATTTGTTGCTCATCATAACACACCCATTCATAAATTGCTAAATTTTTACTATTGTCTTATTTAAAGGTTAAAATGAGCACAGATTAAAAAAATTAATTGCTCAACTGAAATAAAAAAATAAACAATAATAAATGAAAATGAAATATGTCTTTCAACTGAAGAAGAGACGTTGTCCCATACACCTGACATGTGACTTCACTTTTGACCTAAGACAGTTGGTTTGTGTGCAACTTGCACTGAGCAGATACGGTAGTTCACATTTGTCTGTACCTCACCCTAAAGGGCTCGACACACGGGAGGCGACAAATGAGAGCGATCAGCGAAACTCAACGCTGTCGCTCAGATAACATGACAGACATGATGCGGCAAGCGGCACAGGCCGGCGATGCGCTGCGCTCCAGGGCGACGCGTGGGTCTTCCGTGGTTTTGATTGGCTGTCAGAGAGGAAACGTTGGGGTATATAAACACAGTTCAGGGGTCAAAAGGGGTCCGGCGGCAATTATGGATCGTAAAAAGATTCTGTTAGAGCTGTGTGAAATATTACTCCTGAATTTGCTCAACAAGAAGCGGAGAAGACGTGAATGGGTCCATCCGATATTGCAGACGAGACAAATATACGGAGAATACCATCACTTAGTGAAGGACCTTAAAACTGATCCTGATCAGTTCCGTGCCTACTTTCGGCTTAGTCCAGAGCTGTTTTCCCACCTTCTCAACATGGTAACGCCAAAGATAGAGAAGATCCACACAAACATGAGGGAGCCTATAAGCCCTGAAGAACGGCTGGCTATCTGTCTAAGGTAAGTCAATATAATGTGAAATAATAATCATGCATTATTAATGATAAAAAAATAATCATCTAATAACAATAAAAAATAATCATGTAAGATATAAGAAATAAGATTGTAATGCAATCATGTAGCCTAATAAAATCACCAATGTAAAAAGAGTAATCATGTATAATAACCATCATGTTTTTCTATTACCAATTACATACATCTGTAGAGTAAATTCTATGTGTTTATAAAAGAGTGATTGGTAATGTCCAGAATGTATGATGCAATGCAGGCTTTTTTTATTCACATTTACATTGCCCTGACATAAACAGGCAATGTAGAACGTTGTATGCCCAGGCAAACACGCTGGCGCGTAAATTTGGCTTTTGTACGGACAAAGTGAAAATGATGTTGTTCAAATCATATTGTACACCTCTGTACACAGCGCACCTTTGGTCCAACTATAAAAAAGGAACTTTCCAAAGGTTGCAGGTGGCCTATAACGACGCTCTGCGTGTGCTTCTCAGGAGGCCGAGATGGACCAGTGCGAGTGAGATGTTTGTCACTGCTGGAATAAACACGCTGCAAGCCACACTGCGGACGCTTATGTACCGTTTCATATGCCGTTTGAATAAGTCTGTTAATACAGTAATTGGTTCATTGGTTGATGTCGCCTGTAGTGCCATTCGCTATCAGTCGCTAATGTGGAGGCACTGGTATAGCTGTCTTTTTAAAGGGACTGTGTAATTTATTTGTTTGTAGTTTAATGTTGTTTGTGATGTCGCTGTCTTTTTTGGACCTTGAGTCCGTAATAAAGTTGAATTGAATTGAATTGAATATAGAGTAATAAAAGTTAAATTAGCTTCAAATTTGAGACTCAGCTCGTTTTTGTCTGTGTTTTGACTGAATCTGCTGAGTTCTACTGTGTCCAATAGGGTTTGTTTGTTTTTATTTTTTATTTGTTTTTTGTTTGTTTGTTTTTTTCCAGGATAGAGGATAAAATCCACTGATATTGATTTGATGATTATGAGTTTAATGCATACATTTTCTTTGTTTTTAATAATTTTTTAAAAGTTTTTTTTGGATTTATTTTTTCTTTTTCTTTCTTTTTCCACTTTATTGATTGATCAAATTGAGTGATCACATGTGATTATGTGATCAAAGGGGAGGGTGTTAGTATTAGATAGCAATATGGCCTACGTGCAGGACTCCATGTTATGACTATGATGTGACTGTCTCTTTGTGACACGTATGTCTTTCGATGTGTGACGTGACAATGACTATCTAAACTGTGTACTGCCTTTATTCTGTCTGAGAGAAAGAGACAAAGGAAACCAGTGGAACTTGAGAGAAACCTAAATAAACTTCCAGAGTTTGGCGCACCACGATCCGTCTCTGTCTGCTGAATCCTGACAGATCTCACTGAACTTCTGGAGTGAGTTTGCTGCACTGAAAGTAAAAGGGCCGAATAATATTGCACGCCTCACTTTTCAGTTTTTTATTTGTTAAAAAAGTTTACATTATCCAACAAATTTCATTCCACTTCACGATTGTGTCCCACTTGTTGATTCATGACAAAAAATTTAAATTTTATATCTTTATGTTTGAAGCTTGAAATGTGGCGAAATGTTGAAAGGTTCAAGGGGGCCGAATACTTTCGCAAGGTACTTTTCGCACTGTATAGATATGCTTGTAATTACGTGCATCTGTCAACATTAGTGCGTGTTATTATGGTACCATGTCATTGGTTTATGTGGAGTTTATTCACAATGTGCAAAAGCAAAAACCTACCTTTACTTCTGACATGTTGTAGCTTTAGGGTTCTGGCAGATATCTGTGTGGAGACAGTTCTGGTCCTCAGTTTTTCAGCAGTTGCTCCAGCACGACTGTGGCTGGGTGCCTCCTCAGAAGTGCTCTATCATGGAATAAGAAGATTAGTCATTATCAATGAATCTACAAACGTGTTTTCATCACGAAGTGTTCAAATATTATATGTAGTGTAAAGGTTATACTAAATATAATAGCGTGGTGTGGCATAAACATGAGTAGCATATACAAGTAATGTGTCGAATGATGTGTATTCAAACGTGGGGGGATGGGTGTACAGTCTATGATCTAGGTTAGCGTTATTCTCACTTTCTATCATTGTTTTTCTTGATTCAACAGAATAATCTTTTGTGTTATTGTGTTTATTTTGATAACTAGTAAACTATGCAACACAAACCTATTTGCATTCTAACTGCTTATATCAAGAAAATAATTATGGCTATATAATAGTACTAGAAATTAACATAATTTTAAGCGTAATATTTACAAGCTCTGAATAATTTCCACCTGAAAAGGCCAGGCTTTGCTGGTTTATAATCTAAATGGTTCGTGGCAACAAACAATCTATGACTAAAATGCCTGGGCTTCAGTCCAGGACAATGAACGTGTTATCGCCAATTTTTCTTACCTGTATGTAGCTTCTCTCTACAGTAACACTACTGCGCATTATTACAAACTGTTCATAATCTATCAGCTAGCGTTATAGTATTATGCATCATACTATTAAAGCTGCACTAACTGACTTTATTTTCGTATTCATTACGAAAATGCTATCCATGTCCATGTAGTGCATTGGGATATACGTCCTTTTGAAGAAAAAGTAGTGCAGATTTGTGCTGGCGTGACATTATATTTTAGATCGAGTTTTGATGAAACAAGGAAGAGAATGTGTTTCGGGTCGCAGATTGTGACCAATCAGAGCGGACCACTGGCCCCCACTTTCGTGAGAAATCTACAGGTCCGTTAGCATAGACGGCTGAGTTAGCACAACAAGCGGAGGAGCTAACCTGAAGCTTCGTCTCTTCATCACCGGTTACTGCTTACTTAGCGAAACAGCCATCCAAAAGAAAGTCCCGTTCCTCCGCGCTTCCCGGTTCTATCGTTTTATGGTCACGCCATCCACGTGAAAATCCATATTCATGTATTATCCATATTGGGAGACACTAGCTCCGTCCCAACAGTGAGTGTGTGTGGGGGGCGATAGCTTCGTGGGTGCGGGGAGGGGAGCAGAAAGGGAGAGGCCAGCGAGTCCACGGCTTCAAAATCCCAAAGTCAGTTAGTGCAGCTTTAACTTCGGCGACATAGTGGACATGATTACTACAAGAACTATTACTTGGCAGTAATATATGTCGAGTTAGCATTGTACTTACCAATCTTGGCCCCTCATTAACGTCTTTTATTGTGGGTGTATGTTTCAAGATCAGCTTTTTAGTAAGTGCAGTTTCATGGTAATCGTAGTTATGGAAGCAGTCTTTAGCAAAGTGTCGCTCGCAGACGAACCGATTCTTTGCCGATTTCGGAGGCAGAAACCCGTGAATAAAGTCGAGCCACTTTTGCCGCATTGCTTCATCTTTGGGCAAGCCCTCTTTGTCGTCATGTAGTTACATCCGAAAACACATTTTTTCCAAGTTGACATGATGCTGACACTTTTAGTCAACGACAGCAGCAGTAAATACAACAGCTAGACGTGAAGCGAAGTACAGACTGCGATACATGCAGCACTCGTAGAGAAGCTGCAAGCACTGATCTAGGCACGTTTGTGGGCTTGTCTGTTCTAATTCTCCATCTGCCAATCATTGCTGAGCTCCTCCTGGAGGCGGGCTTATGCGCGTCATATTCGTCATCAATGTGTAAATCGTCAGCGTAATATGGGCCCTTTAAACACGTAGTGATGCGGCTCTCAGTGAAAATACATGGTCAACACGTTTTGGTTTGCTCCACAGACACACAGTAATTGTGTCTA